TCTGTCATGAAAAGTTTGCAATAATGATAGCACATTTACTTTTATAATATTTAATCACTGCTTAAAATCAATTGGAAAATTTCCTCTTTCTAAGAGATGGCTAAGTAAACATATGCCTGCTTCATACTCTACTCACACTCTATTTCATAGAGTGTAATATTTAGATAATTCTGTAATAAACAAATATAACCATATGTGAGTAAGAACACTCTTGAGAAGTATCTGATTGATTCTTTTGCACGTTCAGCTAACATTTCCATTGATGGTGCATTTAATTGTTCATAAGATGAGGTCAAATACACCAGTTATCTGTGTAAAATGGTCTCCTAGGTAAATAATCATCCTTTTTTTTCCACTGGAAATTACAACTGCTTTCCTGATCAATGATATTTGTTCAAAGAACAGTTTTGGAAGGACAAGACACATTCTGAACTAAAGAAATCTACTGGAAAACATGACTTGTGTGGACATTACCTAATACACATTTTGCTCCCATGGCTTCCGTTAAAAAAAAAAAATCTGCTAAGAACATTACCATATCAAATTATTTATACTTAAAGAAATTAAACTGGGAATTAAAATTGCAATTAAGGTACCACCATTCAAGGAAATCTTTGATTCTGTATTTTTTACATCAGGAAAAAAATAACTAAGCAATACGATAGCATTTTTTTAATTCAATGTACGCAATCAATACGCTATTTCCTTTATTTTTTTTTTACACATCATGAGACTCATTTAGCTCAAAATTTCATTTAACAGAGTATCCCAATAGCACTTATCTTTATTCTTAGCAATTACAAATATGAAACACTAAGCCAATAAGCAGGAAACCATTACTATTTTTGCATTTAAATTTTTTAATAAGGGGCGCCTGGGTGGCGCAGTCGGTTGGGCGTCCGACTTCAGCCAGGTCACGATCTCGCGGTCCGTGGGTTCGCGCCCCGCGTCGGGCTCTGGGCTGATGGCTCAGAGCCTGGAGCCTGTTTCCGATTCTGTGTCTCCCTCTCTCTCTGCCCCTCCCCCGTTCATGCTCTGTCTCTCTCTGTCCCAAAAATAAAAAAAAACGTTGAAAAAAAAAATTTTAAAAAAAAAGAAATAACATTTATTGTGTCTCTATACTTACATATAATGTCTATCATTCTGCCTATAGAATGAGATTCTTGAGTTTTTCAGGAAGTGGGAGAGGAAGATATTGATTACATTGAGAAATTTGTGTGATTTCTTCCTTCCCATAAAGAGAGCTAAATACAATTACATTTCTCCATCTACCTCAGCTGCCTTCAAGCTTACTATCAAATTTATACTTCATTCTTATTATGTTGATGTGTTGTTTCTTCTCCTATTATGAAGACCCAATTTCATGTCTGCTTTTAAAACTACCTCAAGCCTTTTGTTGAAATTTATACAATATTTTTCTCTCTGTATTTGACAAAATTACTAAATTAAAGCTGAAAGACTATCCGTTAAAGTCACACGCAAGAAGGTGACGCAGCCAAGATATCTTTTTACCTAAGGTCCCTCCAGAAACTTGTATACGCACATATGTCCCTGTGAGAAATAAAGCCTAAGAAGAACAACTTTTTCTCTAAACTACAAATCTTTCCTCTAAATTATGGCAATAAAAAATACATTATGTTTAAATAGCATTTTATAGTTTACAAAATACTTTCATATAAATTATCTTGATCTTGGTGGTCATTCAGCACTGAGGCTTGTTTGAATTAACAATTATAAAATAGAAAGATTTAGTAAAAGGCAAACAAACCAAAATATCTTGGGGAGAAAAGTTAAAGCATTTGGGGGATATTTTAGGCTTGAAAAAATAGATGACTGGGTGCTTAATTGTCAATACAAAAGATAATTGTAAAGCAGGGTATTAAAAGTGGTTTTCACCTTGCAGCAGACACACCAGAGGGGACAAATGCATATGAAAGTCAAATGATATATTTAGAACATCTTAAAATCAATTTGTTAGCAAACCAAGATGTTAAAAAGAAATACCAAAAACTTATATAGAGAGATATGGCTCAATGGACAGGAACTAAAAAAGAGTATTAAATACCAAATGAACTGGATTACTAGGGGTAGTCAGAAATATTCTGTATAGGGCTACTGGGTGGCCCAATGGGTTGAGCATCTGACTACTGATTTTGGCTCAGGTCATGATCCCAGGGTCAGGGTCTTGGGTCACGCTCTGCACTGAGCATGTAACTATTTGAGATTCTCTCTCTCCCTCCCCCTGCACCTCTCCCCTATATTCACTGACTCTCTCTCTCTTTCTCTCTCTCTCCCTCTCTCTGCCCCTTTCCCCTGCTTGTATACTCTCTCACTCTCAAATGAATGAATGAATGAATGAATAAATAAATAAATAAATAAGTAAATAAATAAATAATAAAACTTTAAAAAAGAAATATTCTATATAACTTCTGCACAGCTTTGGTGCTAGTTAATATAACCATGGAGTAGGAGATACACCAGCTTAAGCAATGAATCTAGAGAAAGGAGATGATGCTAAAATGAGTCTCTCAACACTCTGAATCAAAATATTTTAAAATACATTGGCAATGATTATGGGCAAGAAAGAAAGCAAATCATAACACAATGAAATAATCTGACGCATTTACTAATAAGAAATTGTGAGGAGAACAACAATGATATACGATCCCAAATATATGGATTCTAAAAGTCAGCTGAAATGCAAAAGTGTCTAAGCAATTTAAGGAGTTAGGTAAAAGAAGAGGAATTAATAAGAAGGGAAAGACAGGATGAAAAAATAAGGAGGAATTTAAAGAGAAAAAAATAGAGAGTTTGTGGTGGTTTAGAAGGATGTATGAATTCTGCACAGATTTGACTGCTCGCTGGTAAGAAAATGCTTTTATTATAATGAGAATGTACTATAAAAGCTCTGACGTTGACTGTGGTTAAAAATAGGCAACCATCTGGGTTGAATGCTATAGGAAGGGCTATGTTTGGAGAAGTGAAAATAAAAAGAATTCTTGGCTCTATTTTAGAGATATGATTCTTTATTAAAATCTTCTGCTACAATTACACTCTTATCAAGTTCCCTCTGCATTTCCACTAGTTTTTACTTTTATGTTAACTACCAAATAGACAAGTGGCTATTTGATACCTAACTAAGGTTTCTAAAAGGCAGCCCAGCTATGATGGACTCTTTATTTCTCGTCCTCTTTATGTTTCCTTCCAGGTTGCCTCACCCTCATACATGGCACTATCATTCAGTCAGTTCCCAAAATGCAAATCTCAAAATCATCCTTCCAATTTTTTCTTTCTCCCACACCTTACATCCAGTTTGTCATCAAAACTGTATCACTTCTATTTTTTAAAAATTTACTGCAGTAAGAACACTTAACATGAGATCAACCCTCTGCACGAAAGGGATAAGCATATAGTAAGTGATATGAAGGTACAGTCGTGGGGTCATAATATGAACCCAGAACTATATAGTTCCAATTTACGATTTTTACCATTTATACCACAGAGCAAGCACATCTTAAATGAAGACAGTCACAGAGTTGTAGAGAACTCGGTTGTCACTCAGTGTGACAACAGTTGTCATTAAAGTGGAAATTGAAGTCCATACTATGTGGCAGAAAATAGGATAACTGTGTGATGAACCACCGTGTATGCACATGGTAAATGAAAAAGTTTAAGCACAAGTTGAACCAGACTGGAGAATCTTTTTAATTGATTATAAAGCTATTGCCTGTTTGTCAAGGTTGCTCACACACCATTCTTAAGGAGCCAGCAGGTAACATGACTCCATATACAGCTTGTCCTGACCCAGAGGAGAATGCACTCACTGATTGCTTGAGAGCTCCAGGTTATTCATGGCCTTGAAGTGCACCATTCACAGCAATGACCATGGACCTCGGCTCTTAGCACAGATAAGCATTCAAGTAAGATGTGACCCTGGACACTTGGATGGTTTATGGAGTTGTTCATGACCAAGCTCCCAATGCAGATATGGTAAGAGCTAAACAGATGTAGTAGGAGACTCACTATCTGATCTCAGTACCAACCTGCAACTGGGTCACACCTACCTTATTGCAGCATCGTATATAATTTTGTTAATGAATGTCTTCTTCATAAAAAGGCAATATTCAAAACTAGAAAAATATGATAGGCACTGACAAATTATACTAAATAAGAATTCATGTCAAATATTAAAAGAATGTAAATGAATTAAATACAGTTAATTTAAAAGCTTCAATGTTAGCTTAAGGGTTTGGGGGAGTTTTTTTTTAGAAAAAAAGTTTATTTTTCTAAACGTTTCATAAAGAATGCTGGATTTAAGAGTTTACTGGAGGGCTGCTTCCCACAAAACATTCTAAAGTGTTATCTTTGACACAGATCCATACAAAATAATTTCAGTGTTATGCAATTCTAAAAGAAAATCTGAACATTTAATTAGGATTTAAAATACAGATTCTCATGTTATCCTATTTAAAATGACTGAAAAATCATACTTGATTTGCTTACTGACTTAGACCCTATATATAATAAAAAAGGGATCTTAATTACTAATCACTTGTAATTAGTGCTCTTCAAAATTTGTCTTTGAAGGGGCACCTGGGTGGCTTGGGTTAGCTGAGCGACAGACACTTGGTTTCAGCTCAGGTCACTGATCTCAGGGTTCATGAGTTAGATGGTTTGTGAGTTTGATCCCTGCATCCGGCTCTGCTGAGTGGAGCCTGCTTGAGATTCTCTCTCCCTCTCTCTCTGCCCCTCCCCTGCTCTTTTTCTCTCTCCACCCTCCCTCCCTTCCTCAAAAAATAAATAAACAAACATTTTTTAAAACTTTATTTAAATTTGCCTTTTGAAATGTTAACTATACATTTGGTTATGTAGCAGGCCCCTCTTATCTATGGTTTTGCTTTCTGGGGTTTCAGCTACCTACAGTGGGGGCAGATGATCCTGTCATAACGTCAGGTCAACAACAGCCTAATGTGACATCACAATGCCTATGCCACTCTCCCTACTTCATTTCATCACACAGACATTTTATCATCCCACATCATCACAAGAAGAAGGGTGAGTAGAGTACAATCAGATATTTTGAGACAGACCACATTCACATAACTTCTACTACAATATATTGTTATAATTATTCTTTTCATTATTAGTTATTGTTAATCTTTACTATGCCTAATTTATTAATTAAGCTTGATCATAAGCATGTGTATGTAGGAAAAAAATATATATATAGGGTTCAGTGCTTCCCACAGTTCTAGGAATCCACTGGGATCTTGGAGTGTATCTCCTGTGTATTAGCAAGGGACTACTTACTATACAAGCTTTCAAGCTTCGGCAAGTTTTATAAGGAAAACATTAAGTTGAATGAAAGGAAATACTGAGACTGTTAACTTTGTCACCACCTGGTAAATGTCAATTTGTACAATAAAATATTTTCAGAGAAAAAAAAGTCACGTGGCAGAAATAAATAACCTTAAATATCTGTGCACTCCCTATGAATCCTATTGCTGTGCACAGTTACTGGAAAAATTTAATTAGCAATGGCATTCTGTGCTAAAACCATCTAACACTTTGATTTCATGCTTGTAGTTCAGACATTAGTATTCAAATCAGCCCACAACTTGCACTTTGGTATTTATTGAATGAATACCAATTAAATTGTTCCAAATAATCATTTTCATTTCCTGCAGGGTATCAGCCAAAAACCTAATATTCCCGTGGAATTTAAGATATCTGAGCTGTACGGATTTTTACATTTTCTAGGGAGAAATGTTGTTTTTAAGGTAATAATAAATCTAGTTTTTCTATTGTTTCAAGAAAGTTCTTATGCTCCTGGGCATTGTCCTTGTATCTATGCAAAAATAAGATTACCGAATCACTCCATAAACCATTATTCTGAGGTCAACATATACTGTAATTTAGTAATTCATGAAAAGAGACCATACCTCACCCTATACCCTAATGTCCACAATTGCATATTCTTTGTTTCAAAATAAATGAATGATGAACACTTTTTGGGAGAAGATCAGGATTTAGATCAGATGGGAGAAGCAAAAGTGCAACTGAACCAAAAAAACCCAAAGAAAGAAATAAAAGAGGAAACAAAAATCCTGAAAGATGCGGGGAAAAAAAACGGCATGATGGCGCATGTACTGCAATGCTCTCTAGTATTTAATCAATTTGTTTCTGAGCTCAATATAGGAGGTGGTATTTTCAGTAATTTTATTAAATTATTTTGCTCTCACAAATTTTAAAGTTGAAGGAAGAAAAATTCTCAAGACGTAAATTCAGAAATTATATGGAGACAAAATTAACAGCCAAAGTCTGATTTATCTGAAATTCTTATTTATGAGGTGTGTATATGCAATTTATAAAAATTATTTCAAAGAGTATTTCTTTTTAATTAAATTTGTAGACATTTTACTACCCAGTTATATCTCCTTGGCAGAAATAAAACATACCTAGAATATCTTCATAGATTACACTTGTTAGATTTTAATTCCTTCCATGACCTCATAGCAAAGTTAACTGTGAAAAGAAGGTATTTAAAGGAACCTCTCCAAATATATGGTTTCAACATACTTAGCTTACAATATATTTAAGTACCTCCAATTGATAAGATACTGTTTTGGAATTTTGGTCCCTGAATGTTACTGTCTATCTACTGCAAACGTCTGTTAAGCATCTTGTATTTTCCAACCACAGAGACGCTGGGCATAAAATGGTAAGAAAGGGAAACTGACTCTGTTCTTATATATCATGAAAATCTACCAAGAAACACTGATAAATAAAGAAGCATTCAACATTTAACACTTTTTTCCAACTCTGAGAAGCACAAAGTTTAGGCATCTCCCATTATTCAGACAGCCTTCAGGAAAAGTTCAAGGCAGGGTTTCAATTTAAAAATTGAGACTCAAAGAAGAAATAGGAGAAAAAGATGGGGAATCTGGATATTTAAAAAACTTAATATGAGAATCACTTCACTAAAGGAAGGAAATCAATCACATAAATCATATTGAATGTGATCTTTACATTTGGCATTTGTGCTAAATTTTGTTGTCACTTTTTACATTCCTTCATTTTTGCTACAGTTTTGTTTGTTTTAAAAAAGTATACATGTTCATTATGAAGACTGACACCATAGCAGAAAGTATATGGAAGACAGTTGAAAACATGATGCATAATTCTTATATCCATATATAATCACTTGAATATATTTCCATCTCTACAGATACATAGAAATACAGAAAGGGAGATGGATGAACAGATAAATGAAAGTAATTTAAACAGATTATAGTCATGTATATGTTGTAACTTTATCTAAATGTATTGTACTTATGTTTGCTAAAGTTAAAAAAGAAAAAAAAAGATTAGAAACTTGTTGAATTTGAGGCAACTAATTATTCACACACAAGAGACAGCAATAGCTAAAATATTCTTCTGTCCTTAATCAAAAATATCTAAAAATTAAGAGTTTGTCGTCTTTTTCTAAATTTTTTACGTTTATTTATTTTTGAGGGAGAGAGAGAGAGAGAGACAGAGCTGGGGGGCGGGGGTGGGAGGTACAGAGAGAAGGAAACACAGAATCCAAAACAGGCTCCAGGCTCTGAGCTGTCACCACAGAGCCCGACACCCGGCTCAAACTCACGGACTGCAAAATCAAAACACCTGGGCCGAAATCAGATGCTCAACCAACTGAACCACCCAGGCGCCCAAGAATTCGTCATCTTAATGTCGTACTAAAGTATAATGCTACTTCAAACAGTGATTTAAAAATTCACAATAAAAGAAATGGGAAAATTAACATAATTCTCTTTGATTTTTTTTAGGTTATTTTTTTATTCGTGACTTCTAGATTTTCAAAGAAATAATACTACAGTGGTTAAGTACGTGGGCTCTGGCACAAATCTGCCTAGGTCTAGATCTGAGCTCTGCTTCTTACTACTTGTGGACCTAAGATAATCTAAGGTTCATCATTTTATTTGACCTTTCTGTGCCTCTGTTTCTTATCTGTAACATGAGAATTACTGTGGCATGGCCACTTTGGTTTTCAATCACTCCTTCACCCCACCTTCTAATTGAAAACCACCCTTGGCCAGGTACCTATGCCATAAAAATTAAAACTCGTGTCTCTGCCTGGGTAAGCCTTCAACTGCACTTCTGATAAAACTCAGTGTGAAAATAGGGTTTCCCAGAGAAACATCCAAGGTGTTGCAACTTCATATTCCACAGATTCTCATAAGCTATATTTTTTTCCTTTTCCTTTATCCTTTTTTGTCTCATTTCTGTAGTACTTCCTTAATAATATGTAGGTAGCAAACTTTATAAGTTCTTGTATGCCTGAAAATAACTATACATTACCCTCATAACTCAATGATGGTCTAAATCCTAATTGCCTAACATCTGGCTGCCCACTTAGGCAAAATTTAGTTGGGACTAAAAGGTTTCTATATGTTCTAGTGTAATACAAACCTGGGGGCTGTTAGATCCTCAGACAAATGCACTTTCTGTCATTCACTTGTAATGAAGCAAAACAAATCTGACCAAACAAAACTAGTAACCAAATATCACAGTGGTGATAACACCATTAGAACATGGTTTAATACTTTCTCCAAACTTCAGTACTTATTTTCTGACTGTGCACCTCCCATGCGGCTATTTACCTTAAGAGTTAAATCAGTAAACAGAATTCAAGAACTTCAGCATCGAGCATTAAAGTAAGTATTAATCAAACATTCACAAGAAAATCACAAATACTTTTTTAATTTAAATTCTAGTCAGTTAACATATATGGTAAAATTGGTTTCAGGTAGAATTTAGCGATTCACTCATCACTTATATATAATATTCAGCACTGACTTAAGTAAGCATGTTAAAAATTTTAACTAGGTCACATTTTTAAACAATAAATGGATTTATTTTCTCCTGAAGATGTGTACTGAATTGTTTTCATTGGACTAAAACATGAAACATCCATTAACATAATACAGCTCTTTATGCTATAGCTCTATGAAAGAATATAAAAATATCCAAACATACATATTCAAATAAAAAATTGAAGTTTGAAACAAAGTAGGTGCAAAATAAATCTACTAGTGTAAAATCAGAAATGCCAAATGCATTATAAATTAGAGTTCTTATCATTGGTTGGATTATGTTGATAATTAAGCTAAAGTCATGCGCTTAATTCCCGATGTACCAGTTTCCTCTGCTTTGTTACAGAGACACAGGCTGAATCACAATCCCCAGCTGCCTTGGAAGTGTGCGTTATTGATCAAGAGGGGTACACAGCAGACGTGGGGAAAGATTAGTCCAATTCCATTACAATGACAGGAAAAACAATTCTGAGCACATTCCCTACAGACAGTGGGTCAGCTGCTTAATTTTATTTCAGTTTGGCATGTGTCTCTTGTAGACAGATGCTTAATGATAGTTCTTTGTAATGTTAATAATGATGAAGAGAAGATACATTTTTAAAACTATATAACAGCTTCCCCAAACAGGTAATTTTAAAGATTGTGAGATTCATGAACAACACAGCCAGTTCACCAACTATTAGCTGTTGAATCTTTAGGGGCTTAAATTTATGTATTAAAAATTGTGATTTTGGAAAAACACTGACAGTCTTGCTCTATGACATAATGTAACAGCAACTGATTAAGACTAATCTCACCAAAATGTAAAAAAAAACCCAAAACATTATATACATAGATAATATATATGTGTGTGTATACACACACACACACACACACACACTCGTATTTGTAAAGTATAAAGTATTAAATGTACCCTGAAAGAGGGAGATGTTACCATTACTTTTAATTTAGTGAAGCTAACTAGAGGAAACAGATATTAGAAATAATGTAGAAAGCACAGAAAGTCTGAATACATTATAATGGAGGAAAATATTCTCTCATATTTCCTAATAAATATATATTTCAGGCATCATGTTAAGTCTTATATTATTATTAATACGTTACAATGCTTATATATTTTAGAGCAAATTAGTTTTTGTGCACTCACAAAATTCAATCATCGTATATAAAGAGGACATTTGAAGTAGAAAAAAAAATGAAATTTCGGAGTGTTCACACCAAATGCCACATCCTCGGATAGACATTGTATGACATACCTAATTTGTCCTCATTTTAAAAAAGCACAACAAAAATCTTACAGGGTGATTAATATCACCCTCATTTAATAATGTGGCATATAAAGGGGCGCCTGGGTGGCTCAGTCGGTTGGGCGTCCAACTTCGGCTCAGGTCATGATCTCATGGTCTGTGAGTTGGAGCCCCGCATAGGGCTCTGTGCTGACAGCTCAGAGCCTGGAGCCTGCTTCGGATTCTGTGTCTCCCTCTCTCTCTGCCCCTCCCCCGCTCATGCTCTGTCTCTCTCTGTCAAAAATAAATAAACATTAAAAAAAATTTTTTTAAATAAATAAATAATGTGGCATAAAAGGCTGGGTAAATTAAGTAAATTGCCCATGGGCTCCAAACTAACATAGCAGAGTTTTAAACAAAGGATGCACATATGGACTTGTATGACTTATCAGGGCCAGAGATGGCTTATTGTTCCACAGTATCCAGTTTTGCTTTTCCATGATAGCACAATATTCAGCTGGTATACTGTTTCCCACCATGACCAGAATTTTGTAGACTCCCTTTCATCTGTGTATGAATATATGACCAAATTCTTGCCTAAACTATGCATGCAATTTCCAAGTTGTTCCTTCTTTTCCTCCTTCCTACAGGCTGGAGTTAGAATATAGGCAAGACTAGAGTAGTCATCTTGAGCCATGAAATGGAAACCATGTTTTGGGAATGGCAGAAAACAAGTTACAAGAAAATTTAGTCTCCAGTAGTATTAAGCTAATGTAACCTTCTTAGAAAGACTACTTAAACATTTCTTTCTTTTTTTCTTTCTTTTGGGTGGGAGGGAGGGGCAGAGGGAGGGAGGGAGGGAGGGACGGAGAGAGAGAGAGAGAGAGAGAGAGAGAGAAAGAGGGAAAGAGAGAGACACAGAGAGACAGAGAGACAGAATCTTAAACAGGCTCCACATAGACTCGGGACTTGATCTCACAACTGTCAGATCACGACCTGAGCCAAAATCAAGAGCCAGATGCTGAACCAAATGAGCCACCCAGGCATCTGGACAGACTACTTAAACATTTCTATTTGTTTAAGCTGCTGAATCTTTGTGTATATTCATATTTTATAGTGTGTGTGGTGTAACTTTGTTACAACAGCTTGTGTGTTATAACCAATATAACATTGTTTATATTTTTCTTGTACATAACTGCACTTTTGATGGTGAATTCATACAAGGTTTATTCTACCTTACTATGATAGTCATGATTTATGATGACATTTTGCTTGTACGGCTAGAGGAGGACACACAAAGAAATCAAACTTCAGTTTCCCCATTCTAGATTTTATAATTTAGAAACATGTTAATATAAATGTATGAACATACAAGTGATTAAAAACAATGACATTGCACATTGATAATGCACGTGTGATTAAAAACAATAGTACACAAGATCAACACCAACAAAAGCAACTCTAACTTCAAACAAAATAAAAAGTGAAACAAATGACTTAAATGAGAAATAAACTGCATAACAGCAATTTCATATACATCATGAAAACCCTGTATCTAGCACTGCTGCATTCCTTGGTGTGAGAAAGTGGCTAGGTGCTTCTTTTGAAAATAAAAACTACTCAAGAAATAGACATATAGGCAGAAAGTAAGAGCAAATAGAGAGCCCACTATGCATGATTCACTGTGATAAGGATGCTTCCAAAACAAAAGTACTGAACTAACCGTTACCATATAAAAATAATTTATCCTTTTTTAGCATTAATATTTCAATTGCTTCTTTACTAACTTTACTTTAACAGACTCTAATAATATTTTTTAAATCACTTTACTTTCTTCAATTTTTCAGCATTTGAAATATTAACATGTACATAAGTAAAAAAAAATTCTAATTTGTAGTATTTTTCCTTAGGTAAAACAAACAAAACAAAAAAACCCTCTTAAACTATTTATATGATGTCATTATCTTAAAATTAAGAATTTTTAGTGACTTGAGAGGGAAATCAATACTCTTAATATTTCATATTTATGCAGGTAGGTGTTTACGAGGTGAACAATAAAAACAATTTGTGAACAGTAAAAAAGGTTTAAATGATAAGATAGCTTTGTGTCAAGTTTAGAGAGTTTGTATCTACAGATATTAAGTATCTTAAAATATATTTATTTTTTAAGATATAAAGTATGCAATAAAACATTTTAAATCCAGTTAATAGAGATAGGCACTGCAAACTACTGACACAAAGTATTACTATGCCTATATATCTCAACCTATGTTTACACACGTACACCTATAGCTCTATTTATATCTGATTCAGTTGTACTAGCACATGAAGGCATTCTTCTTATTTTGTACTTCCTAATTAGCTTTTTCTCTTTCTGAATAGGTCAAATCCAGGACAGAGCACCATTGCACATAATATTTAAGACTCCTGTAACTGATATATTATTCTACCTCATTTTTTGATTTTCACATTTTTTCCCTCCACTTAAGGATCTACATGAGTCCATATGTGCAGAGCACCATTTCCCACTGGATTACTTTATCATCATCAAGGTGAGACTTTCCAGAAAAAGAAATACCTGTTTTCTATAACAAAGCAAAGAACCACGTCTTGCATTGCACTGGCAGGACATCTGCCCTTGCTTTCTGCCTGACTGCGTACTGAAACATCACGGAGAGAAGGCACAGGCAGAGACAGTGATGGGTAATGACAGTTTTCTCAACAGTGTTTCTGCTTTGAAGATTGTAAGAAAGATAAGGGCACCTCCAAGTCAGCAGTTTGAAAGAAAATTTCTTGTTTGACAACTATGGCACGCAGTGCAAATTCTTGTGATTTGGTTGTTTACAGCATTTGGGAAAATGTCAAAGTTGCAGTAAATATCAATACCAAATGATAGACGTGCTTTCTTGGTTTTTCTGTAAGACTGAAGGAGAGATTTCACTTTTAATTCTGTAGGTGATCCTTTACATTTGTAGAGAATATCTATTTTAGCCAACTCATTTCAAATGATATATAATATTTAAAAACTATAATTAAATGAAACAATAAAAATGATATATATAATCTTACCAAGTGAAGATAAGGCATAGTAATGTAGATATTAAAATCAAAACTTGATTAAACATTGCAGACTGGGTACGCTGTATGGCTCTGTGCAGATCATTCTAAAATAAAACAAAAAAAAAGCATATTTTAATTTTGAAAATACTAAATATCCATGAGTTTCACTACATTTATTACTATGTATTATATTTTAGCTACCTTGTGCACACTTGATATATATACTTTAAATGGATATAGCAACATATCTTCATTTTTGCCTAGGTCTAAATGTAACTTACCTTAGCATTCATATGACAAACATAATACTATGGGGGACCACCAAAGCACCAAATTTCAGTTACTTGCCTTACCAACATCTACAGAGATGTTGCACTGACTCCCACAGCCCTCCATGATAAGCACGATCTCTTATGGAAAATTCTAACTTTAAAAGATCAGAAAACAATATATTCAATTTAGGGGAAAGCAGTAAGTAGGTCAAGCTACAATCACATCTCATTCTCTGAATCACGAAAAATGACATGAAATACGCCAGGCAATCTATCATAAAAATCAAAGGCTAAATAGCTAATGAACAAAATTTTTTAAGTTTAACTTCATTAATATAAACTTGAATTCAAGATATGCTTTTTAATCTTTCCATTTGAAAGACATTAAAGAATATATACCCAGTGTTGTTTAAGATACAAAATATGAGCACTCACATATGATATTGCCTATGTACTTTGTTATAAAATGTCTTGAAGGTGATTTAGTAACATAGGTCAAAGTCCTGTCCTTTTTATTTCATACATTAATTCATTAATTTAGTGAGTACTTATCCAATCACATAATTTCTAAAAATTGACCACATGAAAATAATCAGAGATAAAAATCAATATTTACATATGTTCACCTTTATTACAAAATTATAATACTTATATGAAATAACAAATGTTCATTACTATTAAAGTAACTAAAATATGCAATACAAAATGATTAACTGATCAAAACTATATAACAGATTTAGATGCAGCCATTAAAAACGATTTAAAAAGGGGGTGCCTGGGTGGCTCAGTTGGTGTCCAACCAAAGTGTCCAACTTCGGCTCAGGTCATGATCTCACCATTTGTGAGTTCAAGCTACGCACTGGGCTCTGTACTGATAGCTCATTAGCCTGGAGCCTACTTCAGATTCTGTGTCTCCTTCTCTCTCTGCCCCTCCCACCCTCATGCTCTCTCTCTCTCTCAAAACTTAATAAACATTAAAAAAGTTTTTTTAATGATTTGAAAAAAGTATTTAGTGATATAGGAAATTGGGCACTATAAAAACAAAATTCAAGGGGCGCCTGGGTGACTCAGTCAGTTCCGACTTCAGCTCTGGTCATGATCTCACAGTTCATGAGTTAGAGCCCTTCATCAGGCTCTATGCTAACAGCTCAGGAGCTGAGCCTGCTTTGGATTCTGTGTCTCCTTCTCTCTCTGTCCCTGCCCTGCTCATGCTCTGTCTCTGTCTCAAAAATAAACATTAAAATTTTTTTTAATTCAAATTATAAAATTGAACATATAATTTCATATATGATAGGTATGCATGTTTTTCATAGAAAATATTAGGAGGATATAAAGTCTGATAGATTTATAGGTTTTCATAATTTACTTTATAGTTTTCTGTTCATCTCAAAAATTTTATAATAAACTTTTAACCATCTTAAAGTCAGTATTGCTTGAAATAAATCAATTCACCAATATAAAATCTCAACAAAACATTACTTTACCTTCTTCTACCACATATTTAACCAAAACTGTTATGAAAACAAAAAAAATAAGTTGGTTACAATTTTACCTCTCATTCCTTACTTTCTTTTTGACAGAGGGTTAATGAGCAGAAAAACTAAAAATTTAGCAATCAGTGAAAGGAGAAGCAAAATATAGAAATACAGTAGAAAATGAATCCTAACTTAATATTACAAAGCACTACTTTTGCTCGCAATGATTGATTAATGATTCCTCCCATGGTTATTTTTTTTCCACCAACTAATAACACAAATTAGTAAAATGAGATTTATTTTTTCATGGTGTATTTTTTTCATTAATAATTTGGGCAAAATATATTTAGTGAAAAAATGTTTTTTGGGTTTTTTTTTTGGGGGGGGGGACAGATAAGACAGCCCAATGTTTATTCAAACCACTTCACAGTCCACATTCCCCTACTGCTTGCTCATGTATTTTCATGACACTCCAGTTGTTACTCAATGTTTGGAAACATTCATTTGGTTGAGAATACTTAAATGTTATTCCAAATATTCCTTTGGCTAAAATTTCATGTTCATTTCTTTTTAAAAAAACATTTAAAATAAAACAAGTCTGCTTGTTGAGCCCTGGCTCAGGGCCTGCTTGAGCCCTGACTGTGTTTGTGCCAGATACAATATTTTATACATATATACACACACACATATATATGTTTATACATATATGTGATTTTATTTAATTCTCATTGCAAGTCCGTAATGTAAGTACTTTTGTTCTGTTTTGAAGATGAAGAAAGTTGAATCATTAGCTATCATATCAGAGTGCTTAGCACATAGTAGACTCATATTAGCATTTATAGAATTGATGACTAAAGAGAAAATGTCTCATGGCTAACTTATATTGAAGCCTATAGTAAACACATTTTGCTCATAGTTATAAATCAGTCCCTCCGCACAGGGTCAGCCTTCAGCAAAATCCAACCGTGGCACAACTCTTGAGTTCTGAATCTCTTACTTCTCCTTCTCTTTCTCCCTCTAATATCCCACTCACAACCCAACCTAACAAAATCTAAAAGGATGACTTTAAATGAAGGGTTTCCAGCTTCAATACAGAACCTCACAAAATCTCACATATTTTTATGGAATGTGAGAAAACCTACAGCTAAGAACAGTCTGACATCTGGGGCTCCTGGGTGACTCAGACAGTTAAGCTTCTGACTCTTGATTTCTGCTCAGATTATGATCTCATGATTCATGAGATTGAGCCCCGCATCAGGCTCTGTGCTATAGGGCGGAGCCTGCTTGGGATTCTCTCTGTCCTTCTCTCTCTGCCCCTCCCCTGCTCATCCTCTCTCTCTCTCTCTCTCTCAAAAAATAAATAAACATTAAAAAAAAGAGCAGTTTGACATCACCTCCTAAATCCTTAAAACAAGGACTCCCATTATATATCAACAGATTGCCTAGGAAGGTTATTCCTCTTCACAAGATCGGTTAATTTGTTGTCCAAATAGCAGATAGCTTTGGTTTGGTGATATTTAGAAAATCTGAATGATTTTTGTTTACCAGTTCAAAGGGCCTTACAAAGGCAGTGACTTGGCAATATGGGCATTTAAAAAGTTGTCATCCTGAATTAGGATACAAGCAAACTTAGGGTCTATTAGCTTCAATGTTAATACAACATATCACTTTCATTATTTGAAGGTATTTTACCAAAACTTTTTCATTTTCATAAACATTTAAATGAAACTATTACTAAAATACTAAATTAATTTAAAAGAAGTTTAAAAATAAGACATTTAGAAATTTAGTTATACCTGAATAAATCACAATAGTATGAGTTTCTATTATAGGGAGGAAGAGTGTGGAAGTACAAGACTAAGACTTCAAATCATCTTCTCTCTCTGTTTAGTCTGAGCATCAAAAGGATTTAAGAAATAATGGAGGGTTGAAAATAGTTTTGTATTTGCACTTCCCTGTCATACTTACAATCATATTTTCCAAGGCATGTTTGGCAAGCCAACAGTTTAGAAAGACTGGGACAAACAGATTCCTTAAGGAGGGCCAGAAGATCTGAAAAACAAACCAGAGCTAAACTTTTATCTCAAAGCAAAAATCATAGCCAGCAAATTGAAAATAAATGTAAAACAGGAAAAAAGTGATTAAAGGACATATAATTTTTTTAAATGTGACAAATACTTTAAACTCATTAATGAAATGCGAGGAGAAGATATGATCTTTGCATTTATCATCTAAGTCTTTCTTACGGAAAACTTCTTTGGGAATTATTGTAGAAGCAGAAAGGAAATAATAAGCTCCCACTGAATATCAGCTACAACTATGGTAATTCTACCATTAAATCTTTCAGTGTGACAGTTTACAACAGACATCACCTCTCTCTTCCCTACAGCTTGAGGGGGAAAGTAGGAGTAAGAAGAGAAGGTTTCCTTTTGCTTAACATTACCACTTACTCTCTTCAGATTCAAACATTTTAACTGACATTGGGAACCATATTCAATTGGATTATAGTTAGGTAGCCTGTCATTTAATCTCGTTCCAGTTGTTCCTCTAGATAAATCACTAAAAGTAAAATAATTATCAGAAGTAAGCAACTGCTTTAGATAATATTTTCTTACTTTCATAATTTTCCAAATAAAACTCAAATAAAGTGTTGCAAAGCATATTCCCAACAGACATTATCATAACTCTATGAAATGGAGATTGAAACCTAATTTTGCAATGGGAAAGTGCTGGTTATGTGTTTATGGGGCTGCAACTGAACAGGATCTTCATAGAATTGGTACTCCACTGTATTTTGGTAAAGAAGCAAAAATTGCTAGCTGTCTGGCTATTGGCAACTTTCTTATTAACAAGAGAAGTGAACATAGTAAAATAATTGTGTTTAAGCTAGAAATAAATATATCCTCAGTATGAGAAACTTTTATAAATGCTTGATATCTTTTTTTTAATCTGAGTATAGTTGACCCACAATGTTACATGACTTTCAGGTGTACAACTTAGTGATTTGACAAGTTTATACATTAAGCTATGTTCACCATTAAGTATAGCTATCATCTGTCCTGTTGTATCACTATTGCAGTATCATTGATTGCATTTCTTATACTGTGCTTTTTATTCCCATGATTTATTTATTCCATAATTGGAAGCCTGTATCCCACTCCCCTTCAAGCAATTTGCCCAGACCACCCCCCCCCCCCACCCCTGACAGCAAGCATCAGTTCTCTATATTTACAGGTCTCATTCTGCTTTTTGTTAGTTTCTTTTTTTTTAAGTCCATAATACACACAAGAAGTGGAATGATTAATTTCTACTCTGTCTAGATAATACCCACACCTGTTTAAATGGCACATCTAGAGCATATATGTCTAAAAAGTGTTTTATTTTGCTATTGCACTAAATCTCATTAGTTTTCATTTAATTTCACAATCCAGTTATCCAACTGACTTTACTACTTATTTTTAATATCATGATTCTAACCAAAGCCCAAAACCATTTATTGGAACTAATATATTATATATTAGTCTTTAGATTTAAAGACTTAAGTCCAATAACAAAATTATTTATTTTAAAGATGCTTTTAGGACTTACTGAGATAATGAAGGGAACTGCATTAATTATTTCCAAGATGAAGGGTATTCGTAAAATCTGTTCCCAGATGTTTCCCTTCCAAGAAAGAATAAATAAAAATGAAAGTCAATTATACTGAATCCCATTAAAGGGGGAAAAAGACAGCACTCAGAATTTCTCTAGCAAGGATGCTTACATTAACAGAATACCAAATTATTTTATAAAGATATAGCAATAACTTTTAAAGAGTATTTTTCTAAGTGTAATTGTACTCACTCAATTTTGTGGTAAGTTAAAGAAATAAAGCAAACATTTATAGTAATTCTTGAATATTGTACACAACACATTTTGATCATACATTATTTCATGGAAGAAAGGTTACTAGTAAAAATAAAACAAATATCAAAGAACCTACAGAATCAGTAAAAAGTGATTCAATCTTAATGTTTTTACTATGTGAATTATATTCACAAACTGTAAAGCATATTAAATAGTTTATAAACACATACACTTGTTAATGTTTATTGGTATTAACAATGGTTTTATATCGATAAAATGTAAAGAGAAGGGCTTTTTCAATCATCTAGATTCTAATCTCCCGACACACATAGTACAATGATATTAATAAAAATTGGCAACATAATTTGTGGGGCCTAGTGCACAATGAAAATTCAGGATCTCTTATTAACAATCTATTAACAATTTCCAGAAGGTGACATAAGAATATTAAAATAAGAGCAGGTCCTTCTAAATCTTTAACACTCTGCAAATGCACATATTAAACACCCATAAAGCTGACTCTGATATAAACAGGTTAATCACTGGCTCTTTCTTAAATGGTGTCCAATGAAAAACAACTCTGAATGCCCTAAAGCAGCTTATTCTTCTATAAAGGGATCTCCATATTAAAACGCAATTGGAAATCTGGGTTTCTGTAATTTTCAATTATTTTATAACACTGGCTTCAAGATGGGGAGTCTTTCTTAATTATCCTTGAAGTCCCAAAGGCTTAAAACATTAAAGTGATACAAGATACTTCTACATCACAAACCAAGGTTCTAGGTTGGCTATTGTCCATGTACTCAAATATTAGGTACTAAGTTTTCCTGTATTTCGTTCATTACCATCTTCAGGCTACATAAAAAGTGGTAGAGGGAGCAGGTGGAAGAAATGGGAGCAATGAGAAGCCCTCCATACAGAGAGGTAAGTGGTGCCTTGGAGCTTCTCTCATTACTTCAAGCTAAGTGAGAAAGGCTCAAGAGAGTCACTTAAAGAGCTTGACTCACACACAGAAACTGTACTTGGCTAATGCCTAAAACATCTAAACATGAAGAGAAAACAGTGCAACAAGAAAGAGGGCTGAAATGAGAGCAAGTCACAATTTTGCCAATTCTAAAACAAAGGTACTTGTTTTCTGGGAACGAGATATAGGCTCTAAAGAATAAAACGTATGGCCATTTTAAAGGAGTTTATACTCAGGAAGACTATACTTGAATGGGAAGCGAGACCTCAACAGATGGCGACCTGAGGAGTTTAGTCCAGCCAGAGGCACTGAGGCATCCAAGGCCTTCAGCCAAAGGCCTGAGGAAGACCACAAAAGCCCTACTTGTATCTGCCATGCAGGACAACCCAACATCAGACTACACTTGTGTCAGTCAGGCACCTGCATCCCAGAAGCTGACTTCACCCCACTCCCTGTGCCTCCTCAGCCCTGGTGGGACCACAATCAGCAGCCTCAAATAAGAGAGGAAGTGAAAACAGCAGATGGCCTCCATAATGATTCCCTGTCCCACACAGGTCTGAGCCAAGGACTAGATAAAGCCTTAACGTGGATGAGAATTTTAATGTTTATATATATTGGCCATAACTTCTTAAATACTAAAACGAATCTGCCTTGTGATTGAAGAGACTGGAAAAGCTCTGAGATCTGTCTGAGATATCATCTGATCAGCATGGATCAGGAGGATGTGAGGATTTCAAAACGTATAGGAAAACTAGAGGCCTTTCTTACTTGCAATAAGTCAGACATATTTAATAAACCAGTTATAACTGATCTTAATTATGTCACGATTGTGTGTGTGTGTGTGTGTGTGTGTGTGTGTGTGTGCAGGTTAATATCACCATTTCATTCATCAGTCTTTTACATGGCTCAGTTTCCAGAATGCTAAACATTTGGCTTATTCTGTCCTTGGTGTATTTTTACTACTGATTGTATACCTCTCTTTAGTGTTAATGATTGTTCACGGGGAAAGGGAATGATATAATCAACAAAAGAAAGTCTGAAAATAGTTACCACTGGTGATATGGAAAGCTATGTCTATTAAGGCACAGCAGGATTATATCAGTTCTCATAGCTGTGAGACACTCTTTGGAAAAACTTGGTTCGTAGTAAATAAAAAACCTTTTCCTTGTAAAAAGTCATTTTTTCTTTAAATGTTCATTTATTTCTGAGAGAGAAAGAGAAAGACAGAGAGCATGCTCACTCATGAGTGGGGGGAGGGGCAGAGAGAGAGGGAGACAGAGGACTGCACCAACAGCACAGAGCTCAATGTGGGGCTCAAACTCAGGAACCACGAGATCATGACGTGAGCCAAAGTCAGATGCTTAACCAACTGAGTCACCCAGATGCCCCAGCAAAAATCTTTTCTATCTCTGATGGTTTGCTTCATTTCCATTTGTAATACTTCAATTTTATTTTATGATTTTTTTCTCAATTAAAAGAACTCTCAAACTGGTATCTAACTTAATTAATTTCCGATTTCTCTTCTATATTAAAGGCAAAGTATTCATTCTAAAATGTCATTGCCAACATAGTAACAACCAAACTACTCTTTATATTATATGAAAGTTCATAATCTGGAACTTAACTCTGATTACTGGTCTGGTTCGAACCTACTATACTCCTATTCCCATCTTGAATTCAACCACAGATTCATCCACACTGAACTTTATACAATTCTCTGAACATGGTAGGATATTTCATAGTTTTATAACTTTGCTCATACTTCTCCCTCTGCTTGGAATGCCCTACTCTCCATGCCTTTACCACTACTCTCCTGACAAGAGTTTGTAACATTTTATACAACTATTTGTTTCTATGCCTGTTAGGGCTCATGTTAATGAATAAATTATACTCCCAAATATTTTATAAATGTTCTTCCCCCTCTTGGTATATTGTGTTATTTTTTTAATGTGTATTTACTTTTGAGAGAGAGGGAAAGAGATAGAGAGCTAGCACAGAGAGTGTGCACACTAGAGGATGGGGTGGGGACAGAGAGAGGGGGGGACAGAGGATCCAAAGTGGGTTTTGCGCTGGCAGCAGAGAGCCCAACGTGGGCTCAAACTCACAAACCATGAGATCATGACCTGAACTATAGTCAGACACTTAATTGACTGAGCCTCCCAGGTGCCCCTGTGTTATATTTTCAACTTAAGTATTTGTATTTCTTTCTATTGGATCCAAATGGAAATGCTTGAAAGGATTTTATTATTTGAAGCGTACCTGAATATAGTTATACATTAGTTGTTTAACTTGTAACCACAGAGTTCCAATGGAAAATTTCTGCAGGAAAGTATTTTAAGAGTACTTGGCTACAAACCTATCTCAGGTAGTTTCGTCTGTTTCAAAGTCAACTTGTTTTCAATAATAAACCAATGACTTCCAAAGCTGTATCTCTAGCCCAGATCAATATTGTATCTCTGAGATTCTGTTTCATTTCCACTATTTAAGCCACTGCTTCATACAGAAGCCTCAATGGTACCTTGTGTGTAAAATGTCTAGAAGTAAAATTTATGATTTTTGCCCTGATTGGTTCCCCAGTAACACAAACCAAAAATCCTGGAGAAACTATTAACATCTTCCTTCCCCCAATCTACCTAAGTATAATTGGTCAATAAGATTTCCTGATTCATAAATAGATACTGAGTTTGCTTAGTTCTTATTCTAACTCATTCCCCCGCTTTGATCTGGTTGAGGTTCCTAGCTGGTCTTCTTCCCTTCATTCTTGTCCCATTCCGATTCACCTACCACATTACCTAGATTATTTTTCTAAAGGCACACCTAATGTGCCAATCCCCTGAAAATGAATAATCTTCCCTCCAAGGGCTAATTTTCATTATCTAAAATTATACAGTGAGGCAATATACTCATTGCTAAAAATAATGCATGTCTGTTTATTGTATTCACTAGGTTTAATTCTAAGATCTCAGGTTTTCTCCTGAACTGAGAGATACATGAATAAATATCTCCCCTAAAATTAGCTAATGAAAAAAATATATAGAAAGTATTCCCAAGTTACACTGAGTGTTAGGGAACCTAACTATGGTTATAAAAATCCACATAATAAAAACAATTATTGTGAAAAAAATGTATCTATAGAATGACATTATGTAGAGAAGCATAAAATAAAATCCAAAATGTCCTTCAAAATTATGTTAAATACTTATTTCATTTAATCTTATTTTCTTTTTTTTTTTTAACGTTTTATTTATTTTTGAGACAGGGAGAGACAGCATGAACGGGGGAGGGTCAGAGAGAGAGGGAGACACAGAATCTGAAACAGGCTCCAGGCTCTTAGCTGTCAGCACAAAGCCCGACGTGGGGCTCGAACTCACGGACCGCGAGATCATGACCTGAGCCAAAGTCGGATGCTTAACCGACTGAGCCACCCAGGCACCTAATCTTATTTTCACAAAGGAGGTAATAGGCATGTCTTCTTCCAAAGTATAATTTATTTTATTTTTATTTTTTAAATTAGGCTCCATGGTCAATGTGAGGCTTAAACTCACGACCCTGAGATTAAAAGTTGTACACTCTACCAACAGAGCCAGCCAGGCAAACCCGCCCTCAAAAGGTAACTTCTTTAAAAAAAAAAAAAATCTTTTTTTTTAATATTTTTAGAATTTTTTAACATTTTTATTCATTTTTTGAGAGATAGAGACTGTGAGCAAGAGAGAGACAGAGAGAAAGGGAGAGACAGAATCCAAAGTAGGCTCCAAGCTCTGAGCTGTCAGCACAGGGCCCAATGCAGGGCTTGAACCCACAAACCGTGAAATCATGACCTACGCCAAAGTCTGCCACTTAACCAACTGAGCCACCCAGGCACCCTCCAAAAAAAAATTTCTTAGGTAGCTTTCTTTATCTGTGCTAAGTGTGTAAAACTGTGTTCCTTTTATTGAAAGAATTCAGTAAAATATAAATAAACATTAATCCAACCATTCTACATTATTTGGTATGGACATCATTTTCCTTAGTAAAAATGGAGGAAAATAGGTAATTTTCTTAAATTAATCAGGTTTTTATTTTTATCATAAAGGAAAATGGAAGTTTGTAACTATTTCTAAGTACCTCCAAAAAGCACTTAAAAATTATAAGATGTATGGTAATTAAATCATTAGCCCAGCATATACCAAGAGACTTTTTAAAAACACATTCTTCTTCAATATTAACAATACCTATATTTAAAATACATAACTAAAAAGGCTGTTAACTCATCTTCCTTTGATGAAATTAAAATAGTGTAGTAATCCTATGGTAGCCTTATTTTGTATTTCTAAATGTAAACTGAATATTTAGATTTACCATTTCCATGGTATTGTAAGCAGAATCATCAGCATCTAAAAGTCCTTTCCTTTGTCCAACCCTTTGTTCCTGACCAAAAGGGAGCTCATCATGGTGTGACAATCTCAAACCATTGTTCTTCATCAAGTGATTATAGAAAAAAGAACTGCAGATTTAATATAAGCCTTCTAGGTATGTTGGATTTTTGTTTGCAGAATTTTGGAAATTATGCTGGAGTTTGTTTTCGTTTCCTTATGATTTAATGAATGTGTATGTATAAATAGAGTTCTATTTTGAAGGCAGTTGATAAAGACATAGAGGGTATTTATGGTAACAGAAGAATAAGAACTTTACTGCTGGGAGATCCTGGGGCTGTTCTGCCAAGTAGCTATAAACATGAATGGAATGATGTTTAAGCACAGACCTGCACTTCTGTAGGATAGAGGACAAAATAAGGTGATGTCAGGGACTTTTAAAATTATCCACTAACCTCAACATACACTTTGTTTTTGAAAAACTGCAGTCTTGGGGCACCTGGGTGGCTCAGTCGGTTAAGTGGCCCACTTTGGCCCAGGTCATGATCTCGCGGTCTGTGAGTTCGAGCCCCGCATCGGGCTCTGTGCTGACAGCTCAGAGCCTGGAG